CCTGGTTGCCAGCTGGGGTTAAACCACGATGTCTTGAAAAGAAGAATAAAAGCAAAAGACACTGAACAAAAAGGAGACAAGATGTTGTATTACCCTCTGCTTCCTCCATTTCTTCTGTATCCTCTTCTTCATCCTGTGCAACACTGAGAACTGCAAAAATAAGAGTGTCTAGTATAAAGCATGTAGTAAACACTGCGGAATTTTAAAAGAAGAAATGATATACACCTTGGCTATTACACCAATTCCAGAATGTGTCTTACCTGGCTTTTCCATAGTCTGGGGAATAATTCCACTCTTGTCTTTGATGGGGAGCAGATGGATGAGTTCTTTTTCTGGCTCAGTCTGCATGCGTCTTGGCACCTTCTCGTATTTGTCCATCACATTTTCATGTTTTCGTTTTTTGACATGAACAGGTTCACTGAAAAATACAAGTTTAAAATTTACAGGGCAAATTACAACCACCTTACAGCAGCTAGGTGTACAGAGTCTTCCCACAGTCATCAGAAAAGGTAAGATTTTCGATCAATCATGTAACCAGACTATTCTTAAAAGTGCACTTGCAAAAACGTACAATTATACAACCAGGAGCACTCTCCTGTGTGTACTTCAGTGTGAACTCTACCCAGCACCTCGCTCCAGCAAACCGGCAACAACGGTTTTGTATGAACATTCTGGTGTTGGATATGGTTACAGACATGGCTTCCAGAACCTTTATTTTTTTTACAGCAATGTGCAATCTAATATGGAAAGTAGAGTGGCCCCGTGTTCAGGGAACGTCCTGAATATTATATATATATTAAAAAAAAAGGCTCTGTATAGAGATTAAAGCATTTTTTCCAGTTTGAGGAATGCTATTCATCTCACAGCAGAGACCTCACAGGAGGGAACACTGTGCAGAAACAGTACCCTGAAGGTCAGGCAAAACAGGAGAATGTACTGATACACATCAATACATTAATACTAAATGTACTGACAGATTCAGGAAACACCACGCTGCAAGTGAAAAGAAACACCAGACTGAAAGTGACCTCCTGATGTATGTATTGCATTACATATTAATTACACATTAACCACACAAAGCTGAAGTGGTACGAAAAGAAGATGTCACAATGACACTCACTCAGAAGAAAGATCTCTGGTTAAAAAGGATGCCTTTTGAGCCAAATCTTCCATTAATTTTAAGTCATCTTCATCCATCATGTCCAGCGGAAGAGCCTCTTCTTCCTCTTCTTCATGTTTTTCAACTGTTTTAGAAGATGATGTACACAAATTAAGACCCCATATGTAAATTCAAACCTGAAAATCTAACTCAGCCTACACCTGTGAGACCATTTTACACCCTGCTTCAGCCTGGAGCTCATCAACCTTCATGCACGTATTTGTGTTTCCCCAGAAAACTGCCCCTTTATTGTAGCATCCACTAGTGATTAAAGTAAACACATTTCTACCATCTCCAGCTGCCAGATCTTGTTGCCAGAATGGCCACACTTTCTATTTTTCATAACTCTCCCCTTCATTCCTTTAAACAAGAACAACAATTACTTGCGTGCAGAAAATGAAATGTGCAGCAGAATATTTAGTAACTCTCGTACCTTTCTGATTACAAAAATAACTCTGAACAAACACTTACCAACTTGTTTTTTCTTGCATTCTTCCAGTGGAAAAGGTTTTCTGGAGATAGCATCTCTGACAGCTTCCCTTAGTTTCTTTTGTTCTTTCCGGTACTTCTTAGCAGCACTCTGCTGCTTGTACTGTTTATTCTTTAATTTGTTGTCAAGTTTTATTTTACTAGTTCTCAGTAACTTGCGAAAGCTTGGAACTCGCTTGGTGTTTTTTCTCTAGAAAACAACAGAAAACAAGTAAGTGACATGTTCATAGCCTTCGGGAAATTTATTTCACTGTTTTCAGATCTCACGAGTTCATCTTTCTGTCAGGGCTGAACAACGTGTTTCTTCCAAACGGTCTCATGAGTTAGCTCCAAATTTACCCAACCTTGCACACTTCTGAAAAGACAGACCTGGGAAGAATGCTTTACAGAAACGTTCTTGGACAACTTTTTAATTAAACCCTTCGTCCATCACTTTTAGCCACACGAACACTCAAAGCGTGGTACGCAAGCTGTGAGGGCACAGTCTGTGCCCTGCCTGCTCCCCGGCACTCTGCCTCCTCTCTTGAGGAGCCGTTCTCCCCAGCACACCGTAAAGCACACGGTACCACACGGTACCACCCCAAGGGCACAGCCTCAGGCCACCGTCCCCCTGCAGCGCCCTCAGCTCCGGCCCTCTCCTGCCCGCACCCCCCGCGGCCGGCAGCTGCGCACAGAGGGGCGGCTCGCAACAGCACCAGCGACACGGCCACCCTGTTCCCACAACCACACAAGGCTCCCAGGAGCGTTCGGGATGGACACGGGGACAGGAAAGCCACGGAGAGAAAATGGCCCATCCTGCTGGTCCTGGGCGGGGGGGCGTCCCTTTGGTACGGGGACAAGCGGCTGGGCCAAGGCCGGGCTCCTCCGATCTGGAATTCTTGCCGGTTCACCTTTAGCTTCCTATTTAGCGGCAGAAGCCAGGCTGACGGCTGTCCCCGTACCCGAGCAGCCGCAGGGCGCGATGCCCCCGCCCAGGGCCGGCTCGGCCTCT